TTCCCCTTCTTTAAGGAGTTTTTCTGACAGCTTATATTCAAGATTCCTGAGATATTTATTATCTTTTCATGAAGACCAACTCCATATCATATTTTTGTCAGTGGATATTATACTTCCTTTTCATCAGCCTTAAAAGCAAAACAAAAGCCTTCTGAACTGATCCTGATGTTTCTCTGAACTTCTTTCTTTCATCAGCCTACATCCCAAGAAACGGTCCCCTGCTGCCTAGGCCGTCCTCTGCACTGTCTTTGAATCCTTCCGTTTTCTACTTCTTCTGAATGATATTCACCACTTTAGATTCAATGAGGAATATTGTTCAAGCTTCACTTCTGGCAAAGGGTTTTCGGTGGTTGCAAGGTTACATCAAATGTATTCCAATTCATAGAGACCCCGTGTGGCTATAATCTTTATGGGAGCAGATCACAAGGTTTTTCTCCTGCAGAGCCTTTGGGTGGGCGTGTTCCAACCGCCAGGATTTGAGTTCGCAGCTGAGAGCTTCACTCTTGCACCATCTGGGTTCCTTTGGCAGAGAGCAAGATGGAATAGAAGTTGTCATTGCAATACAATGAGATGCAAGGAAAAGAAGTATCCCAAGGAAGAGAGAACAGGGAAGACTCCTCAAAAGGGCTCCATAGAAACCGAATCTTGAAGAATGAGTGGGAATCAGACTGAGACAGGCAGGTTGAACATTCGGTTAATAATATGTGCATAGGACAGCAGGCAATCATGGTCATGCCTCTTGGAAGTGCCAGTAGCTATGTAGGTTGGGAGCTCAGGTTTTTTGTTTTTTTTTGGGGGGGAGGGGGGGCGGGAATCAAAGGGAAGGATACAGGAGGTGCAGCCCCAGGAATAGAATGAAGGGAAAATGTTTACGACATAGGTTGAAACAACAACATCCATTGATGATTTCTTATAGTTCTCCACTGTGCAGGGGTGGGCGGGGCAGTTTATCTCTGTTCCATGTGCTGTGGAATCCCTCAGCTTGACTGGAGATGGAGGATCAACATGGTTACTTATATCCCTAGCACTTTAGCTGTGGTGGCCACAGCTGAGTGGGTCTCTCTCTCTACTTCTAGTTGATTTCTCATATTCAGTAGTCCTGCTCAGACCTGTTTACCTGGGAACTGAATTCTATATGGGCAAAAGATGGCAGTGGTAGGACTTCTTAAAACGTGGATCCAGGAGTCCTGTGGCGTCACTTCCTCCAGATTCTACTGATGAAAGCAAGCCACAGAGGAGCTTGGCTTCACTTAGAGGACAAAGAGATCCCCCCTCCCATGGGGAGAGCAGAGCAAACGTCAGCAGGGTGGAAGGAAATGTTGGCAGCTATCTCTGTGTAAATTCTGCCACAGGTCTTCTTAAAACCTGGGTTCAGTAGGGAACCATTTCAGCAGGAGATTGGCATTTTGACATACATGTTGACGAATGTCTGTTTGACTCCTTTCCAAAGAAATCACACGCACCGCCATGCACTCCGTTCCCATTCACCGTGGACTGCCCTGTGGGCTTTCCAAGACCACCCCTCTTTCCTAGAGTAAAAAGCCCTGTCTGTCTTCCATAGAGATAGAGCGGTTTCACACTGCTGACCTTGGAGTTCGCAGCCCAACCTGTAGCCACTATGTCCAGCAGGGCTCCTATTTTAGTTCCTTTATAGAGGTTGAATTCAAGTGTTGGGGCCAGTACCTGGAAACAAGGCAACCAATGGTTGACCTCAGAAAAACTGCATGGGCTCAGACTTTTTCTTCACCTGTTGTCCTGTTAAAGCATATGTTACCAAAGGTCCTTGCCAGGCCTTTGTACCCTTCCCCAAACGATGGTCTCACATTGATCATGGAGGAGGAAGTATATAACTCACAAAGCCTCTGACTAAAGTGTTCTTGTTTAGAAATACTGCTGCTGGCATATATTATATGTGTGCTTCTATAAATAAATCAGGAAAGTCAGATGAGATTTTCGGGGAGGACAAAAAATGGCTTTGTTTTTGCAAGGGGCCGTTCCTGCGTCAGAGCATGCTGAGCAAGCTAGTATGCGATTATAAGGCCCAGGTAGGCATTGCATTTCATTGTACCCTGAACCCTTGACGCTCACCTCCAGCTGTCATTATATAGATCTACGTAGGTACTCAAAAGCTCCCCCTAAATTTACATAGTCTGAAATGGTTTATGATATCACCTTCATCAATGAATTTCCTTCATGAAGAGCAACTTTGATATGCAGACAACTGTAACCTGAACAAAGAAGAGGAGAGACTAATGCTTCTTAATTGTAATAGACAGAACTAAGATCCAAAGTCTGTGAATGGACAGGAGATGGGTTTTTAAGGACTTATAGCGTGTTCTATGGGGTCACTAAGAGTAAGTTTGGTTTTGAGAGTTGGTACAGCACATTCTAAAGATCTATCTTGAAGTGCAATGCTGCTTGTGATGGGATAATTTCTATCTGCTTACAAGGAAATCCTTTCAATACAACTATTATTAAAATTTATAAATCAACTGTTACACTAGTGATAAAGAAATTAGAGAATATTACTAAAGTCTTCAGGTTGAAGTTAATCAAACATGCAAACAAGATACATTGATAATTATTTGTGTTTGGAAACAGAGAAAGGACCAGTGGTTGGAAAATGAGGCATTTATGATAGAAATGAAGCTGGAGATCTTGTGATAGAATTTTGCAAGACCAGTGACTTTTTCATAACAAAACCTTTTTCTAAAACACACAAGATGACTGACTATACACATGGATTTCTCCAGATGGAATAAAGAGAAATCAAATTGATTACATCTATGGGAAGAGATGTTGGAGAAGCTCAATATCAATAGCTAAAATGAGGTCAGGGGCCGACCGTGGAACAGACCATCAATTGCCCATATGTAAGTTTAGAATAAAGCTGAAAAAAATTAAAACAAGTCCACAAGAGTCAAAATATGACCTTGAGTCTATCCCACCTGAAGTTTGAGAACATCGGAAGGACAGGTTTGGCACATTGAGCACTAATTACAGAATACTCAATCTATGGGATGACTTCAAGAATACCCTACACGAAGAAAACAAATGGTAAGTTAAAAAGCAATAGAGAAAGAAAAGGTGAAAATGGATGTAGAAGAGACTGAAATTTTGTCATGATCATAGCTAAGGCAGATGGAAGAACTGATGAAGTCAAAGAGCTGAACAGAATTTCTCAAAAGGCACCTTGAGAAAATAATGAAATGTGCAAAGACCTAGAGTTAGAAAATCAAAAAGGAAGAAAACACCCCACATATCTTAAATGGAAAGAACTCAAGAAAAAATTCAAGGCTGGAGTTGCAATCTTGAAAGATTCTATAGACAAAATATTGAGTGATGCAGGAAGCATCCAAAGAAGATGGAAAAATACAGCAAGTCATTGTACCCCAAAAGAACTAGTCAACATTCCACCATTGTAGGAGGTGGCATATGAGCAAGAACAAATGATACTAAATAAGAAGTCTAAGCTGCGCTGAAGGCATTAGCCAAAAACAAGGGTCCGGGAATTGATGGAATACCCATTGAAATGTTTCAAGAAGCTGATGAAGCGCTAACTCATCTAGAACAGGGAATTTGGAAGACAACCTCTTGCCTCTTGGCCAACTAACATAAGAGATCTATATTTCTACCCATCCCAAAGAAAGCAATGCAAAAGAATGCACACATTTTAGACCAATGTCACTGAGATCACATGCAAGTAAAATTTTGCTAAAGATCAGCCAACAATGATTGCAGCAGTACATTGACAGGGAACTCCCAGAGGTACAAGCCAGATTTGGAAGAGGATGTGGAACAAGGGATATCATTGCTGCTGTCAGACGGATCTTGGCGGAAGGCAGAGAAAACCAGAAAGATGTTTTCCTGTTTCCTTACTCATTGCCATCAAGTAAATGTCAACTTATAGCAACTCTAAAGAAACTCTATAGAACAGGGTAGAACTGTCCCCTAGGAGTTTCTGAGACTGCAGCTCCTTATAGGAGTAGAAAGTCCTATCTTGTCTCCCTTTATTGATACAAGTTCTAGAGGATGAAACTGGGATATAATACCTCTTCAGCTTTCAAAAACTCTCTTAGTCTAAACTCTTTGGGCATCTGTACCAGTGGGCATGCTCTGATTTAGCTGAATTTGTAAGGTAGAACTGGGTACACTGGTATAGATCAGAGCTCTCAACATCCGGAATCCAGGACAGATAAACTCCTCGGGAACAATAGTGGAAGTAGCAATACCATAAGCAGAGGGGTAAGGTGGGGGCAGAAGGGAGAGAAAGGGGGAACCAACTGATCGCAATGTAGTAAGGATTGATGCTTGGAGAGCAGTGAGAATGAGGACCTATAAAAGGTGGAGAAAGGGGGAGCCCATGAAAATGATCGATGCATAACCCCACCTCCCTCCCCCAGGGGGACAAACAACAGAAACATGAGGCAGCGGATGGTGTAAGATATGAAAATAATAATTTATAATTTATCAAGGGGGCATGAGGATGGGTGGGTGGGGGAGGGAGGGAGGGAAAAGAGAAGAGCTGATAACAAGGGCTCAAGTAGAAAGAAAATGCTTTGAAAGTGATGATGGCATTTATGTGCAAATGTGCTTGCTATGATTGATGTATGGATTGTTATAAGAGCTATAAGAGCCCCCGGTAAAATGATGTATAAAAAAAAATCCTTGGGCATCAAGTGATGCTAATTTCTCTCTTAAACTTTAGATGCCAGAGGCTGAAAACTGGTTCAATTGGAGCGATTAAGACTAAATCACTTTCCACCACTTCCTTGCTTTGTGATTGTGGGCATTTTCTTTATCCCTGTAAACTTTGGTGTCCTCTTCTGTAAAACTGCAGCGATAATCCACTTTCCTTATGGGATTGCTGTAGTGGACTACAAGAAATTACACCTATTGCTCTTGGCCCAGAGCAAAGCATGAGTGCGTCATACATTTTAATTGTTATTATTTTAATGGACTTCCCGCTGACCTTCGCTGTGTTTCCCTTTATTTCCCAGGGAGATGTTAATCTCAGTGGCCCTGGGCCAGGTGTTATCTCTCCTTATTTGTGGCATTGGCTTGACCAGCAAGTACCTGTCAGAAGATTTCCATGCTAAGACACCAGTCTTCCAGGGTTTCCTCAACTACATCCTTCTCTTCTTGGTGTATACCACTACACTGGCCGTCAGACAAGGTAAGATGTAAAACAACAACAGCCAAGCCCGCATGACTTCATTTCCCTTTAGACAGCTAGAGGAACGAGGAGCCACAATCGATAACGTTTGTCACTTACAGCATCAGTAAGACAATTCAAATCCCCTATCTCACTTTTCTATTTTACAATGATACAGCAAGCAAAATGAATGAATAAATCAAAAAAGAAGAAGAAAGTGTGTGATTCAGAGGGAAGTGAAAAATGCATTTATAGGCAGAACTGTGAAATAGCTCACTATTTGAATTCCTGTGAACATTCCTTGTACCTCTCAGTGAATCTAAATAAATTATTTCCCTGGAACCTGGAACAGACCTGGTGTAACTGTCCCAAATCATGCTTGTCCCAGGAAATCCAAGCCAATTGCAGACTTGTTCTTTGGGGAAGTAGCATGAGAAAGATAAAAATAGTAAATACAAACAAGTATAGTAATCACACAGGGGAAAAGAAAGAATAGAAACTGCCGCAAATGATCAGACAAGTTCTTTGTCGAAATGTAAAATAACTAAAGCAATAAAACAAATCCTGAGTGACCACTTCTAGAGTCAATGCAGGGCAAATCTTTCAGGACTTGTGCCAACTCCAGTTGATGATTCTTGGACTACATCACTGGAAGATGCACTGCTCAGAATGATACCATTGAACCTGATGTAAATATCATTATGTAGTACTCCCAAATAACCAAGGCTTTCTTGCAACAGCTGATATGGAATATAAAAGATGTCACTGAGAAGTAATTATCTCTAGGTTTGGGTTTAATTGCATGCCTAAATGATAAATAATAGTGCCATATAGCTGCACATAGCGATCTTAATATTTATGCTTTTTTGAACCTTTTATAAAACTGTTAACAGTTTTTAATTTGTACATTTTCTTATTTGAATTGCTGTTCAGAATAAAATAGCTAAATTTACAATGATTTTGTCAGCACTAGGTTTTTTTCTGAAACCTACTGCCAGGAGTAGATTCCAACTCATGGTGGTCCTATTGAAGGTTGCCAAGCCTACGGCTCTCTATGCAAGCAGGTACCCCCATCTTTCTCCCGAGAGTGACTGGTGGATTTGAAATGCTAGTCTTCTGGTTATAAGACCAGTGCCTAACTTACGGCACCACCAGGTATCCTTAGGTTTAATTTTAATGAGCAAGTTAAAAGTGAATTCTAGTTTAATTTTGAATTTGTTTAAAAGCATTGAATTATTTTATTTCTCAGAAGTTGGTGCTATTGATGTTTGTCTTCTAAATTTTAATATCAGTAAGCTAAGTTATTCTCAGCCTAACATGTCGATAAAAAGCAGGTGCTCATGCAGACTTTGTAGGTGGCCAGCAACATAAAGACACTGACTCTCTGCTGTATGTCCTCGCATGACAAGAAAGCTATCATGTTGAGCTATATATAATGTGGTAGCTAACAGGTCTTCCCACGCTTTCAACACCGGTGCCTCAATCCAGGCAGAGACAGGAAGAAGTGAGGAAGATGGGGGAGGCCTCTGATTACAAATTCACTTACAACAGATTGTTTTCACGAGGAATGTGTAGGTTGGCCAGTTCAGGAAACGCAAGCTATGTAGTTTGACTTCAAAATCATTTGACAGAAGTAAGAATCAATGCTAAAAGAATACAATCATTTCACCCAGTACAAGAACTATAATTAAGAATACTAGAATTATGTTAAGAACAGTTTTTAAAAACTGTTAGGATTACCCCCAAAAAACACACAAGAAAATGGTTGAGTTAGAACCAACTCAGTGGCAGTGAGTTGGGAGAATTTGGAGCAATTTTCCGAACCAGAGCGTCTAGCAGGCTAGTGAAGGGTGAATTGCAGCTAATCTGTAGGGTTTTGTCTATTTTACTTTCCAGGGGTCCAGAGATTATTAAAAGCCTGCATTGGGGATGAAAAAAAATCAATCTAGTCTAAGAATCAGAGAAAGCAATTTCACAGTTATAGGTAGAAACCAGAGAAGCTTGAAAACCTAAATGTAGAAAAAGATCTAAAGTTAATCATTATAATAATACCTTCTCTTGAGCCTTTATAATGTTCCAGTCACTATGTCTGTGAATTACCTCATTTGTTCTTTCAATCTGAGAAAATAGGTAGGTATTATTATCCAAAATTTTATAATTGAGAAAACAAAAGCTTCCTCAGCTCAAGGAACTGCACAAAACTCTAGAATTAGAACGTGGCAATGACCCATCCTAACCCAGGGCTTTGTGCCTCCAGCAGTCCCTGGGTGGTGCAAATAGTTAAGACACTAGACGACTAAAGGAAAGATTAGAGGTTGAGGTCCACATAGAAGCTCCTTGGAAGAAAGAGCTGGCAATCCACTTCCAAAACATCAGGCATTAAAGTCCTATGGGGCACAATTCTGCTGTGGTAGGTGTGGGGTTGACTCAACACCAACGGGTATGCCTTCAGGGCCCACCCAACCTCCTCAAGAAAGGCCCCAAGACAGCAGGAGGCTGAACTGGAGACAAGGTAGTAAGGAAGTGTATTGATGTATCTTGATTTTAAATGAAAGGAGGATTTCACACACACACACACACACACACACACACACACACACACACCCCTGAATTTCAACACATGAATTAAAAAACAGCTGAGTAGTTCAAGTCCCATGAGCACTGGAGAAGAGTCACATGACTATGAGTGTTCCTGGGAAGAATGGGGCCAGGAGAGGTGTGAGCAGAAAGAGGCCCAGCACTGGGAGAGGCAAGGAACCTCGGGGTTCTGTTTGAAAGAAAAGGCTAAAGAAGGCCTGAGGAGAGTCTGACCAGCAACCCCTGTCAGTGACGGCTGGAACCATTTTCTAAAATGCTGGACTTGTAGATGTTTTTACCAGTGATTCAACTTATCACTACAATTGCAGCCTGTCTCTTTTGGGGTGTTCATGCACTCTAAGTGTTTGTTTGCTTTAAACGTTATCTCTGGTGATTTTAATAGGCTGGCATTAACTGACATATGGAAAGCAGCACAGTAGTCACATGAGTTTGGTACAGGGATGATTTTCAGTTGTATGCTGGAAGCAGAATCATCTCTTACTCAGGCGTCTCAAGATCGGGTGAGGAATGAGTAACGGAGCAGAGAAGATTGGTGCGCACAAGGGAAGGTTTCCAGATAGCTGCTTTACCCCTCCTTTCCCAGTGCGCCAGGACCACTTCCCCTGTGGACTGCAGGTTAGGACTGAGCAAGGTGTCGCTGCTCTTGCCAATGATCTCAAAATGAAATATCCTTTACCCTGATGAACCATCATGCTGCTCTAAGGCCACGGTAAACTACGTAACCAGAAGCAAGAGTCAAAATGGTCTTTGGCCTCAACTCTTTCTTTATCATTCTCGTCATATAACTTTTAAAAATGGATGCGTGTCATGTTTTGACACAACGTGAAAAATGAACAAAGCCCTCCAACTAAGAGTGCTCTCTCAATTAAGAGGGATCTCATTACAAAAACGATCAAAATTTGACTTAGTAATTAAACTCTATTCTCTCTACCAAGTTTGTTTTGGATCAGTGACCAGAAATGTTGACATGGCAGGTTCCAGCATAAGGTTCAGACTAGAATTTAACCTTTGATGATTAAATGATTTCTACAAACATTTGAGTACCATCCAAAAGTGGGTAAAGGGAAACGTCAGACAGTGCAAGATATGACAAAATAATAATTTGTAAATTATCAAGAGTTCCTGAGGGAGTAGGGAGTGCGGAGAGAGGGAGAAATGAGGAGCTGATGCCAGGGGCTTGGGTGGAGAGCAAATGTTTTGGAAATGATGAGGGCAATGAACGTACAAATGTGCTTTACACAATTGATGTATCTATGGATTGTGATAAGAGTTGTATGAGCCCCTAATAAAACGATTTTTTAAAAAATGTATGTTCTCCTGAACCCCTTCAAAGGTTAGCTTTTCCTTTGCTAGAGCTTGTTCTAAAATTCCAAAACTAAAAAGAAAGTCTTACTGTTCATAATGAAGAACTTTATGCAGAAAAATATACTTCAAAGAGTAGTTCCAAAAAGTAAGGAAATAATTAGAGAGTAGTTCCATTGATATTTTATCAAGTTTGAAATTTTAGATGGCTATAATTGGAACCGTTTTATTGTAACTTCTTTGGAAAAAGTATTCTAATCATTAAATTGCTCATGCTGTATATACTTAGAAGAACTTCCAAAACACAGCAGAGAAAGCACAGGGAAACTTCTGAAAACTTAAGCATGAATGTAGAAAATCCTCAAAGGAAGACTTCCTTGGATATTTTTCCTTAAGATTCTAGGTGCAATTAGGAAACAATGAAAAGACAAAATCCAAAAACCAAATACAAGATGGGGGTCTAACTCTTCTTGTTTTTATGGTGTGGAAGTTAGAAATGTAATAATTTTTTGGAAAAAATAGATTAAAATAGGATATTCATCTTACCCCAGAAAATATATGCTGTCAAGCCCTTTGCCCCTAAATTCGAATCAATTATTAGAAAAATTTTGTTTCTCTCCAGAACTGCTTTATTTAGCTTTTTTTTTCTTCATATAGCAGTTCTTTATTTAGCCTTTCCCCCACCCCACCTCCCGGTGGCTGTTGTGAAGAATATTCATAGCAGCGTATACACCAATTTAACGGTTTCTTTAAGAATAATTCAAGGACATTGATTAGTTTTGAGTTGGACCATAAATAACCCCCTTTCCTGAGTTATTTATTCTCCACAAATATAAACTAACTGCCTCCTAAGTTTTCTATCCAACATTTGGTATTGCTGTGGTCAATTAGATGCAATACAGATAGATCATAAAAAAGGCACAATAATCCAGACAGAATTCGTCATTAGTTAAGCTAAACTATTATTTAGTGTTCAAAATACTTATGAGGATTTTTTTGAGTCAAGATTTAATTGGTTCAGGATTGAAAGATTATCTCAGGGCAGTAGTTTCAGGGGTCCATCCAGCCTCTCCGGCTCCATAAAGTCTGGACTCCATGAGAATTTGAACATCTCGTCCATG